TTAGTCACCCTATGAAGACCCAAGGATAATAAACTTAAGTGAAATAAAGCCCATCAAGTGATCATCCTTGTAATGGTCTCTTACACTTAACCTCTCGGCCCATAATGATTAAAACATTGTTCGGCAGGGAATGACCTCTTCCATGGTTGCAAGGTGCAGTGCCACACTCTTTGCTTAGATGGATCCCGAGATTAAAACATTTTGCAAACATTTTTCATAAAATAATAATATATATAATGTATAAATACATCTTGTAAAACCAGATTTCAAATACAATTAAAATCCACTACCAATAGTTTAGGTTTCCATCAGAAAGTGTAAACCCTAATATTCACTTTGTCTAACAATGGAGTCAATCTTATTATCACACACTCGGGTGATTTCAAAAACTACCCCAACATGCCCAGGTATTTAATCCTTGATGAATCTCACTAATTAACACATCAAAGATAACTTAATCCAACACCTAGTCCAATACCATAATCAAGTATGGGGTTATATGTAACTTTCTAGTTATGCCCATCTATCTCCAAGGTCTAGGGCATAACTGAAAACCAATCCAGATTCAATGTTTCTTCCCAACACACACTGCATGTATTTGGGGTTTAACCCTAACAGTTGAGGCAAGCCACTCCAACTGTTTGGCAACATGTCAGTGTCAGCCTTATCAAGATATCCCCAAGTCTATCCAGTAGCTGAGAACATTCTAAACTAACACGAGTCTTATAAGTGTCCAATTTAAATGGTAATACACAAAAAAAATATCAATATCAACATGAAATAATAATGTACTTTATTCATTTTCAAATAAGGCTCAGTTTGAAGGAATACAAATACAAATTTGTAGAGTGCAAAACATTGTATTTTGTATGTATTTGCACAATACATATTTGTATTTGTACTCCTTCCAAATTGAGCCTAAATGTTTATATACATCAATCTGATTGGAGCAAAGGGCATACATTATCTAAGAAACAATACTAAAATTGATTTGAAAAAGATAAACTGAAGCCTAAAAAACACTTACTCGAAAATTGCGATCACTTTAAACATTTACACTCAATTACTATGAATCACTATTGCAGATACCTGTTAACATCCAAGCAACCCTTTGGCTCCCACTTGGTAGACAAAAAAAAACATAAAATTGGTCACCAAAAGAAACCTCTTAAACTAAATACACCTTGCAGTTAAATACCAACATATTTCTTGGACATAACAACCTTCAGTAACAAACTTCTGTATACAACTTTCATGGTCCTCTTACATGCTTTAGTCATTTGAGGACCAATCCAAAAACAAGAAAAATGCAATTTGGTCCTATGGCCAAGAAAAGGAAAAGAGAAAACTTGATGGGGTGATAGATCACATGTTAGAAACGAACTACTATATTGGAGAAGAAGGAAGAGAAGAAAAAACCTAGAATATTCTATGATGCTCTGATACCATATAATCAGTCACAACATATCCTAGGAGAGAAGTGAAGGAAAAGGAGAAAGGAAAAGAAGGGAATAAATAGAAATGTAGGAAAAATGAATGAGAGTTGTGGCTTTCACTTTCCCCAATATATTAATAAAAGATATAATTACAAAATGGTCCTTGGAAGAAAGAAAAATCACAAAAAATCCTTTGTGCCTGAAACACTCATAAAAACACCCCTAACAATAGGTTCTAATGTTCTTAGGGTGACACAAGAAATCTTCTCTCAAAATAGCATTCTCCACACCTTGAATGATACCAACCTTATTTTCATACCCAAAATACATAAATCCTCAAAAGCTATCCAATATAGACCCACTAGCCTCTTCAATGTGTCATACAAAATCATCTTTGAGGTGCTAGCAAATATACTTACAACAATTAATGCCAAAATTGATCACGCCAAACCAAGCGGGTTTTGTCAAGGGTAGACAAGTCTCTGACAACATCAACATATCCGAAGAAATAATGCATAGGTCATGCCGGGCTTGAGTTTATTAGTAAGGAACCACAACTTTTTATTTATTTATTTATTTATTTTTTTTACAGATGGCAATGGTTGTTGTTGTATTCAGTTATGGTTCTATTGCATCTATCTCACCATTACAAGTAGTGGTTCTTGCTTTAAAAGGTTTGAAGTTGGTAAATGTGGCCTTACCTAGGGTTGTAAATTGGGTAGGGCTGCTCACAACCTAGCACAATAGCACACAACCCAGAATGTAGGTATAGGTCATTCCAGGCTTGAGTTATTAGGTCCACATACGACACGACATAACAGTGTGGGTCATGCTAGCAAGGGCCTATGACCCGGCATGTGGCACATTTGATTATTTAAAATAGGAGAAGTTAAGGAAAAGGGAAAAAGGGTTGTTTGCCAAAAATGTAGGAGTGACTAGCTATTGCAGAAAGGGTGACAAAATAACAAGGGAAAGAAAAATAACAAACACAAATTGGATGTGGGGTTTTGATACTTTTAAATATTCACAAGAAAAAATAAAACAAGAGTGACAAAATATATTGTACATACTAAACTTGATTTTTATTTACAAGCAAAATTTTATAGTTTAAGTGATTTCTTCAACTCGGAAGGAATGAATAATTTTGACATTTTAACCTGGTGGAGTGGACATGAAAATAATTATCCAATCATTGCCGCTATGGTATGTGATTTATTAACCCCTTCAATGTTTATAATTCCATCGTAGTCTTGTTTTAGTGCAAATATTAGGTTGATTGATGAAAATCTAGAGATGTGCATCTACTTTAAAGATTGGTTGAACGTTAGAGGATAGATTACAAGACAAATGAAGGCATAACACTACACCTAATGATTCACTTGAAGCAGATGATCAAAATCAAGATGGAGATGGAGGTGGAACTTGAAGAAAAATGAAATTTTTTTTTTGTATAAACAATTTTGTAACATTTTTTAAAATTATTATAAATTTTGTTATTCAATTTTATTTAAATTATTTGTTAATTTTTAATAATATAATTTTTTTTTATTTTCAATTTGTTATTGTATTATATCTTTTTATATTTTATTCCCTTTGGTTAAGTATTTTTTGACCATTGTATTGTTGAACTTTCAAATTTAAATGAAACAAATTCCTATTTTTTTTCTAATTTATTATCTACTTTTGTATTTTGCTAAATATTTTTTCATTTATTGTCCCTTTTTGTATTTTACTTAGCAAAAAAATAATCAAAATGTCAAAAGAACGTCTGGCCTAGTTAGGCCCAAGCCTAGCCTAGCATGGTGTAAGCCCATAGCACGACTTGCAACCCACTTAGCCTAGGTCCACGGCCCAACATGAGCTCGAGCCATGGGTCATGTCAAGCCAACCCCCAACTTATTTAAGGGAAAGGAAGCATGGCTCGGCTTGGCCCACATGGCTTGATTTACACCTCTACCTAGGAGGGTCAATGATCATCGATGAACATTCAAGATTGTTTGGTTCTATTTACATTTACTCAATAAACGTTTTGTACTTGTTTAATTACAAAATCAAAAAAAACAATTAATAAAAGCATTTATGACACATAAGCACCATTAGGCACATCAACAATATGCCAATAAACGCCAATTCATTTTAAGAAACTTCAAAACTGAAAAAAGCAATTAATGGAGCTCCCTAAAACAYGAGAGGCATATTAACAAACCATGTCAAAAGGCAATATTTTTATCTTCTACTAGCATTCCAAGATAGGATTGTTTGTCCAATGAAGAAAGAATACCTTTGTTAGAATGATATCTAGAAGCCCAATCCTAGATTTTAACTTGCAAAAATCAAGTTGGCTTCTCATTCTTAGGTTTTAAACCTTTATCCCTTATTTGAACTTCTAATCAGCTTCTCTACCAATCTATGAGGATTTATTTTGAAGGAATTTAATATCTTCTTTGTTTCAAATTGCAAAGATTGAAATGTTAATAAAAAAAATTAAAACAAGGATTCATCTCACAAACTATCAACACCATAATGTAGACCATCCACAAGAAAATACCATAAACAATAAATTGGAATACAATCTGTCCATACACATTATTTTGTAAACATGAACTATCCATACATAACAGAATACCATATCTTATCATGAAAAGAGCCAAAACAGTCTCATCCATGATATTTACACTATCAACACCACCTAAAACATATAAGAGGTTTGTATGATTGTCAAAAAATTCAAGAGAGGTTTTTGCATTTTACTCTATATATTATTAACTTATTGCTATAATTTATTAAAATATTTATAATGTTTTCCTGATATGCATATCTATCTTACGAAATAAGAGTTCAAGTCATGGTTTCTGTACCCCTTGATCTCTTTTTGTTCTCCATGGCTAATAGACTAAGTAGGAGTTTAAATCATGATTTCSGTTCGGTGTCTTTTGTTTATGAACTGTTTTATTCCTGTTTAATGATAAATTAAATTTCTATTTGCCAAAATGGGTTTATATTTAAGCTACAATATATGGAATCGGATATGCATAGATTCAAATTTGAATTAAATAGATAATCCCTCAAAACCCTCATAACTGTTAGAGGTGAAGGAACAATTTTATGTATTAAAATTTTCATTGACACCCCTAGATGACAACTGTTCCAGTCTTCCATACGAGGCCTGACCCCCTAATAGCATTTATCCGAGAGGCCTCATCTCTAACCATGCATGTTTCTTATCTCTCATTCTCTCCTACTCCAGCCAAATTCCTATGAGCGAAACAAAGTATTACTAGAGAACCATCTTTTTTGCCATCACCAAAGGTGTAAAGCTTTTAGCTTTAACAGTTATTACTCCATAGAAAGAAACCATGCATTATCAGAATTTATAATCAATTTTCTTTAGACACCTCACTGTTTTTTCTTCAAAATCACTTCCACTCTAATTTGAAAGTATAATCTTTGTCACTGACGAAATCCTTACAAGACAAACTCGGACATTACAGAGATGGCTAAAATGTTTTTTTCTGAACCGCATGAACAAGGAGATGGCAGATGTATTACGGCAGAGATCACCTCTTAAAGGACATTAAAGGTGGAGATTACCTTCGTACTTAAATTTATAGAGTTCCAAAACATCTAGACATCTGAAAACAACACAATATCACAGCTAACATAATAAATCTAAGTCAACAGTCTTCGTTTGAAGCAAGAAAAATAGAGAGAACCTACAATCTACCAAAGATAATTTGCTTAGTTAGCGTTGCTTCCGAAGAAGAGAAGCAAGTTAAGATGCACACATTATCGATGAAGCCATATGAAGCCAAAAATCAAGTCACAGGAATGCGGAAGGCAGACTGATGGATGATGGGAGAGTGAGTTCAAATTATTACTCTCTCAGTCATCAAGCCCTCTCACCACGGATCCTCCTCGCAAGCTGGATGTCCTTGGGCATAATGGTGACACGCTTGGCATGGATTGCACAAAGGTTTGTGTCTTCAAAGAGACCAACAAGGTACGCCTCTGCTGCCTCCTGCAATGCAAGAACGGCATGGCTCTGGAAACGTAGATCCGTCTGCAGTATCCCAATAACATTGCATCATCAAGACACCGCCTTCAATTTCAGGAAACAATAGAACGCATGAATATACCCAGAAAAACGGAGTTTATCATCCCTACTCACTCACCTTGAAGTCCTGGGCAATTTCACGAACAAGCCTCTGGAATGGGAGTTTCCTGATCAGGAGCTCAGTGCTCTTCTGATACTTACGAATTTCACTGAACGATAAAACAAAAGGAGGTGAAAAAGTCCATCAATACTAACCAATCAAACAAAACAAAGGAAAGCAGAAGAGTTGCGTGGGGGAGTGAGGGATAGAATGCCAAAACTCAAAAGTTCTCAAAGTTTCCGGAATATACCGAAGGGCAACAGTTCCAGGGCGGTATCTATGTGGCTTCTTCACTCCTCCAGTGGTTGGAGCAGACTTACGGGCAGCCTGAAGTAATATAACATACCAAATGAGGATGTTGATAGATTAATATTTCATTAAAGAAAAGGTAATTCAACCGCAATTACAAAGCAGGGACCTTAGAAAACCCACCTTGGTAGCAAGTTGCTTCCTTGGGGCCTTTCCTCCAGTTGACTTACGAGCAGTCTGCTTGGTACGAGCCATTCTGCAATTACAAGATTTGTCTACTGCATTAGCATCCCTAGTACCTAAAATTTCAGTCGACAAGAAAGAATGAATGACTTTAACTAATCCCTGTAAGCAAAGTTGGTCATCGTTTATTGGGAATAAACTGCAAATCGTATTGGGATGACGGACACCCATACGAACTAGGGGAAAATAGGAATGAAGAATTCATCTCAAATTTTCATTGATTTATTGATAGGAAAGTAGGTACAAAATCAAAAAGTAGTTAACAAAGAAAGAGGATATACATTTAATTGAGTGAAAAAGGAACACATTGCAAACTTAGATTTAGTGGAGATTGCGCAAGTTCTAAGAAAAGGACTACTCGCAACAGACGAATCAAATCGGGAAGGAATAGAATATCCCTAAAGGAATCGCCGAAACAACAAACCAAGAAAACCTACTTTAAATTTTCTATTCACAAAATACGCAGAGACAACTAAACTATACCATTGTCCTCTGTCGTAACACTAATTAAATATGAGAAGAGTAAGAATACCGAAACCCTAAATCTCTTCCGGAAGAAAGGAAACAGGAAAAGAAAGTAAAGGCAAAGGATGGATGAAGAAGCCGCAAATCGAAACCCTAGCTAATCCCAAATGGAAAGACAAAAATTAAAATTTGAAGAAATTAATGTAATACAAGGCGACCAAATGAGATGCAGAGACAGAGAAAAGAGAGTACCTCTTTTTTAATTGTCAAAATTGAAAAAGCCGGAGAGCGACGAGCGTGGGAAGATGGAACACTTCGTAACCGGAGAATACGGGAGTTTTGAGGGGTAGCACGGCCTTTATATTTATAGGTATAGCTTGCTCCTTGGACGAATTGGGTTTAGAGAGCCCTGAAAGCCCAATGGGCCGAGTTGTCCTGGTTTCTGAATTCTCATACCAGTCCAAGTCCAAGTCCAACCAGGAACAGGTCATATGAAATTACAATACTAGACCTGCGTTGGACCAAGTCTGTTCCACCAACATGACTGATGTTGAACAACACACACCAAACACGCTTTGCCATTCAAACGTACTCCAATCTATTATGCACGTGTCGAAAACAAAGTTGTCCTGATTTGTATCCAATCATGGTATTCAACCATACGCAAGGCAGCCTAGACTAGACTACCTTCCGGGGTATTTCCGTCAATCTAAGAGACAGTTTAGCGGGGCCCGGGATGAAGGGCCCCACCTCCGGGTTTTCTTGGTCGTGACTCCATGGAATGGAACATGCGTAATTAGTAATTAAGTTAATTACCTCTCTCCCATCCAACAGTAAAAATTCTTGTAGCGATCCCCACTGAGTGGTTTCAACCAATAGAAAGCGAGTATTTAGGTTTCACGATCCGTCGCAGTGCAAACTACAGCATATGTCAGCCGTTGATGACTGTCAAGGAAACACACCGTAAGTCCATATCGGCCGTTCGATATCAGAACGGGAAAGAAAACACAGTGCAGAACAATCGCCGACATCCTTCGTCTATAAAACACAGTGCAATCTATCAAAGTGTTTGGTTTTGCTCATTCTGGTCGAGGGTAGAGGCCTATTTCTGATTGTGTGAAGCAAAGCTTTTCGTTTCCTAAAACACCATAATAGGTAATGCGTTCTTTTTGTGTTCCCTTTCCTTTTAAAATTGGTAGTTACAATTAGCTTTTTTCTTATCCACTAATAAATTTTCTAAATCGGACTTCTGTTCTGCTGAGACGATTTTTCTGTTTTCCCCTTTGAATTATAGATTGTTTTGTTCATTGTCTCTTGAGTCTTGCCGAAAATTTTATTTTTTCTTCCTCAAGAGGTTTCTAGTTTCTTTTCGAATTGGTACTTTTGCGTTCCTTTTCTTATTTAATAGAAGAGGTTTCCTTTTAGTCCGTCTTTCAAATAGACTGTTTCCTTTTCTTCCTAAAATCTAGAATTTTTAATAATCCTTGTACAATATGCTTACTCTCCAAGGATTAGGGTTTGCTACAAAGTTGCAAGGCCCGTTGAACTGTTTTAAATTTTTATTGGAGGAAGTTCGCCCAAATTGGTTTTAACGTATGGCTTTGGTTGTGGATTTAGTTTTCTTCTCTTCCATTTTGTAAAATTCTCGTTAGGTTTATGTCAATCTGGGTAGAGGATTTGTTGCAGGTGTTTGAATTTAAAACGTTTGTAAATTTTGATTTCGTGAACCAAACATTGCCAACTGCAGATGGCTCGTACCAAGCAAACTGCTAGGAAGTCTACTGGAGGAAAGGCTCCCAGGAAGCAGCTTGCTACCAAGGCAGCTCGTAAGTCTGCCCCAACAACTGGAGGTGTGAAGAAGCCTCACAGATATCGCCCCGGAACTGTTGCTCTTCGGTATGTTATTTAATCGTATCTGGTTTCTCCGTCCTGTAAATGTTAGTCTTGGCGTCTTTCGTCTTACACTAATTTAGTGGCTTGATGTGATGCAGTGAAATTCGCAAGTATCAGAAGAGCACAGAACTTCTGATCAGGAAACTCCCTTTCCAGAGGCTTGTTCGTGAAATTGCCCAGGACTTCAAGACGGATCTCCGTTTCCAGAGTCACGCCGTGTTGGCCTTGCAGGAGGCGGCCGAGGCATACCTTGTGGGTCTATTCGAGGACACCAACCTCTGCGCCATCCACGCCAAGCGAGTCACCATTATGCCCAAGGACATCCAGTTGGCGCGGAGGATTCGCGGTGAGAGGGCTTGAAGCTGATGACTAATTAACCCTTGCTCGCTGATCAACAATTCTGGTTGACTTGGGCGTGGGTAGAAGTATTAGTGGTTGGATTTTTTTTCTTATTTTTAGCAGTAGGGTTTTATTAATCCAGGTTGCGGTAATGGAATTGGGATACAACGACTCCTTTGGTATTGGATGGTGGTGTGCAGTAATAGAACGTGGGATGAAATTTACAATTGTTTTTGTTTTTTGTTAGTACACTATTGCCTTAATTATTGGTTGTAGATTTTATGTGTTATTTTGCCTTTTTCTAATAATTAGATTAAATCCTTCTTTAATTACTGTATGAGCGATCGACATGGTTTGTGAATCCTTCAAAAATCTATTTATTCTCTTTGATCCTCGCTTTAATGATTAGACATCGGAACGGAATGGCATTTCTTAGACTCGGTCACCAATCAAATTGAGACCTAGTTTATGACAACATATCCCCATATTGAGCTTACGAATTATCAATTAAAAGGAGGTAAATCTGCAAGGATCGGAAAAAGATGAAAGACCTAATGTAGAAGGTTACAACACTTGGTTGCCTACCGTCAAACCATCAACTGCCTTGTTATCTCATTATATTGCCATGCCTTGGTTGTCAGCTTAGTCATGATGATGGAAGACTGGATAGTTTTGTGGGGTTATACGTTATAACTATATTTTGTCGACTCGATACGCAAAATTATTCCTTTGACGTGATTACAGAGGGCGACCCTAAGGCGGATGAGCCCGCAGTTGGGATTTGGCCGAAATCAAGGACAGTACTGGTTATGGACATTGTCACTCTTGGATAAGAAAATGGAAAGTATGAATCGGAAGTAACCATTCTTGCCTATGCAATTTTGAACAGATTGGTTACTGGGTATCTGGCTTTCTCAATCCTGGATGCTGGAGGCATAAGAAAACTGGGAATAGGTATTGTCAACCATTCACGAATCACGACCATTTCGAACTAATCAGGTCTCTACTCGATTTTGATTGAATCCCTCACAAAAATGCCGTTTTTTCATCTGCTGGTTCTTCAATGCTGCCAAAGATGACGTTGCAGACTTGCAGTAAGCAAGTGTTGCGATCACAGAAGCATTTTAATAATATGATGATATGCGGCATATGCCTGAAACAACGATGAGACAACTCGAGTACTCGAGCTTTCCATGCCAAAAACAACTTCCAACCGGCCTTTTATCATGAAGAAAACATCAAATTCTGGAAACTATCAACTATGATTTCCGCAATAGTACGTAGCATGCAGAATTCTCACCGTTCCATCTCTTTCTCATTCAAGGCCTTGGTACTGTAATTTATTTGTCAAAACATAAAATGACGTTGAATTGGCAGAGCTTGGCTTGACACCGCCAAGCATGGCTTTTATGTGAAAGATATTTCCTGTGTTTTGGACTTTAAACTAGTGCAGCAACAGACCTGCAAAATTTTTTTATTAACTCAAGTCTTTCAAATAGGAGAGTATATAGGATTCCCTGTTGATCACTCTCACTTCAAGGAACATGTATCCTCGCCCAACAACCTGGCAATAACGCTCCCACAACAGTTGCCTTTGAAATGTCAACTTCTACAAAGGGCCTGGAAAGGCTCCATTCTCTCTTTGCTCATTCCACCTCTCTATCTGCATCAATATATAATACCACATAGTCAGCATCAAGAGGAAAATCCAAACAGATCAACAGAAATGCTATAAGGATAAAAGTATGCTACCTAAAAAACCTATCTGCTTTGAGGAAATGTGTTACTGCTAGTTTTTAGCATGTACTTATCACAATTAATCCCGATTGGCCTAAAGGTTTGAACTGGGTATCCATCATATTCTTCTGGTTGACATCCAACATGGACTTTAAGATATAGATGAAATGGCTTCATTCATCTATTTGCTAGTTGAAAGAACCTTTTTCATAATTATATGGATTCAATTTAACTCTTGAACCACTTGCAGGAGTATTTTGGTGATGTTGGCTTGACAAAAACAAAAACCTTGAGATTGCCCACAGGGATGGGTGACTACTTTGCTCAATCAAACTCTCCTTGATGTTGCGACAGGGGTGTTGGCTTTGCAAAGGCAGTCTGCAAGTACAGAAAAGCTCAATCCCTGAGAAATTCATGGGACCCTGAGCACATGCCTTTCATCAAATAGGTGGAAGTCCTTCCACAGCAGAAGGGCAAGGGCATGGGGTTCAATATGTTTTTGATAATAAAAGAAACTTTTATTAAAAGGAAAAACATTACAAACAAAAAGTAGAAAGCATATTGAGGAAACCACTCAAACAGAAATATATGTCTATCCAAAACAATCCCTTACCACAAATGGAACAGCCTAACAACAAAGACTTGAACCAAAAGACTATAGCAGAATTGACATATTCCCCAATAAATACTACCAGCACTATGTGGAGTGGAAGAGAAAATATTATAACATAAGTTGGTGACAATATTGTACATATAAAGTAACAATGGTATTACCCATCTAACTTAACACGACTTCCACATTGAGATAGCTCAATATCCATTTCAAGCATGAAGTTAGATAATAGCTTTTGTTTGTGTAATAGATTATTTGGTTGATTTGTTACAACCATTAACATTTTCTATGAGTTTTAATTTTTGCTTTACCCCATCCATCTTGAAGCTGACTCTTAGGGTTTATAGGGCAACACCAGAACATATTCTTTTGTCTATAACCTTAGTTTCTTAGATTTGTTTAGTGATTTGGAGAAAGACAATAATTTAAAAAGGTGTGCATATTCTTCTTTTATCATTTCATAGAATATCATTCATTGTTTTGCATATTTTACAATGTTTCCACCATGTCTATAATTTTTACAATATTTCCATATGATATTTCTAACATTTCCAACATGTTTCTTATATTTTAAACCTTGATAGATACAAACAACAAAACCACTGCTCCTCTTTTCCTGCACTGATCAAAAGACATTTTTAATCCCCTTAACAAATACTAGCAGGGTGGCCCCTGCGTTGCAAGGGCTAATGAGTGTAAGAAAAAAAGTTCTTAGTGTGTGAGATTTTTATACCCCCACCATGATAAATACTCCTTATAGTAGTTAACTCTGACAATGGTAAGGGGTGTCCCGACAATTTATAAACAACATAAGAGGTGTTTTGATACAAGAGTATTTGTCACACAAATAGTGAGAAATTAATTGTCGATCACAATAATATGTTTTTGAAAGAAATTAATTATATATTTGGAAATGGTGTAATAAGCACTGCCCATATGAATTTAAAGAAAGGTTAATATGCTTCTTACAAAAAAAAAAAAATCTTATTCTTTACATAAACATGTTAATGCCTTCCCCTTGAGGTGAGCTATTCAAATTGCCTTGTATAGCAGAAGTTGCTCTTCAATGGACATCGTTGTCTCTCAACCCTCGTCCCTGGCCAAAAACCATTGAATCGGTCAACAACCCATTGACCCGAGTGGTCGAACTGTCAACCTGCTGACCCGTTCAATGGTTTTTGACCATTTTTTTATTTTTTTTAATTGGGAACCGTCCAGGCAACCAGTTCCGTTTTATCCCAATCCCGGTCCCTGGCCAAAAACCGTTGAATCGGTCAACAACCCATTGACCTGGGCAATCAAATCATTGACTCGTTGACTTGTTCAATGGTTTTTGGCTGTTTTTTTTATTTTTTGAATTGGATGGTTGAACCTTCGACCCGAAAACCGGTGGCTAGACGTTTTCGGGTCGTATGAGTCACGCTCAAATGACATCGTATGATACTGCTTAATGGACCTCACACACTTAATTTTTTGCCTATAATTTTTGTTGTTAGAATAGGTCGTCCGTTCGAACCAAACGATCAAACTACCATTTTTTTATTTTTTTAATTGGGAACCATCCAAACAACCGGTTCCGTTTTACCCCAATCACGGTCCCTGACCAAAAACAGTTGAATCGGCCAACGACCCATTGACCTGAGCGGTCGAACCGTTGACCCGTTGACCCGTTTAATGGTTTTTGGCCATTTTTTTCTTTTTAAAATTTTTGTTGTTAGAATGGGCCATCTATTCGAACCAGTCGGTCGAACCGACCCGAAAAACGATGGCCAGAACGGTTCCGTTTTTGGGTCATATGAGTCACGCTCGAATGACATAACGCGTATGATACTACTTAATGGACCTCATACACTCAATTTTTTGCCTGTAATTTTTGTTGTCAGATCAGACCATCCGTTTAAACCGAACGGTCGAACTGTTGACCCGAAAACCGGGTGGCAGATAAGATATATAAGATTCTTCATGTTTGTTTCTTGCAATTTGAGAATTTTTAATGAAGAATCTTTTATATATAGTAAAGGGAAATATTGCCATTTAGCGAAAGGGGAGAGCACCCCTTTCCCTTGGATATATATTATATAAGATATAAGATAAGATTTCTCATACCTGAAGTTGATGAAAATTGGAACTTTCTCTTCTACAAACAACTGAACAAGAATTTTGGTTTCCCCACTCCCTAGTTCCCAATAGATAAACACACGTACCTAACAACCCCTCAACACAGAAATTGGAAAGGAGACATGTAGACATCAAATAAATTAGGAGGCGTAGGTCACCACTCGCCACCTTGGAACGCTCGCCATGGAGCTTCAAGGCCTTACTCCTCGAGGGGTCCAAAACACTAGACCGTCTCCAACCCTCGGTGAACTCTTCTGGCGAGTGGAGAACACCCAAGACGAAGCCACCCGCAATGAGACTCCTCGGCACCAATCGCTCGACATTAACACCGGTGTTGACTCCAGGTCTCTTCCTTTTATTCTTTCCTTTAGTAATCTGACATACAACATGAAGACTCACCGTAAAATTTCGTTTCTTACGTGTTTTGGTCGGACCAAGAGTCTCGGAGCAGCGACGGGTCCAATCCATAACAACCCTAGGGTTTTAAATTCAAACACCAAGGTTCTCTTGAATGATATCTGCGGCTATGCCAAAGAAGGAGAAATCCTTGCTGTTCTGGGTGCTAGTGGGTCGGGGAAATCAACTCTTGTTGATGCTCTAGCTAGTCATATTGCCAAGGGGAGCTTTAAGGGGATGTATAACCTTGAACGGCGAAGTTATATCATCTAAACTTCATAAAGTGATATCTGCGTACAGCGTACATCATGCAAGATGATCTACTCTTCCCAATGTTGACAGTGGAGGAGACACTCATGTTCTCTACCGAGTTCAGGCTGCCACAAGCTCGCTAAATCGAGAAGAAAGCTAGAGTTCAAGCTTTGATCGAACAGTTGGATCTGACAAGTTGAATTCCACAAGTCATAGCAGCAAAAAATGAATCATCCGTCGACCTACGGATACAATAGATAGGGTCTCACGTTGAAAGACGCCACCGCTACCAGCATTTCAAGAGGAAAGCCAGTTTCCGGGGCGACAAACGATGGAGCCATACATCGTCAATGCCAACATTTGCTAATCCATTCTAGACTCTGAGGTGGCGATACTATCCAATTGATCGATGATGAACACGAAGCGAATGCCAAAGCTGGTTAGGGTCCATTTAGGAGCAGTTTTGGTCAAGGTTCAAAGTATCGATATGATACGAGTTTCGGTCGTATCGTATCGGCACTTAGAAACGGTCGAAACTCTATTTTTTTAATTTTTTTTCAAATTTTGTTTTTTTGGGAAGCTTTTAGCATGCTTTTTATTATTAAAAAAATTGGGGGTCCGAAACACCTGGAAACAGGAATTTCAGACCGTATCATTTTCAAAAGATACGATACGATACAACTCTCCCAAGGGCATCCAAGAGCGACTAGGATTCTTTGCCTTCGCCATGTCAACGACATTCTACACCTGCGCAAAGGCAATGCCAGTGTTCCTGCATGAGCGATACATCTTCATGAGAGAGATAGCTTATAACGCATATCGTCGGTCGTCCTACATTCTATCTCAGTCTCTAGTGTCCATACCTTCTCTGATATTGTTGTCGTTGGCGTTCGCGGTGGTAACGTTCTGGACAGTGGGTCTAGCTTCCTTCTGGGCTGATCTACCGCCGGTTCGACGGTTGAGAGAAAAATAGGGGGAAGAAGAAGAGGGAAAAAAGAAAAAATAAAAAGAAGGGAGAGGGAGGAGGCCGGAGATGGGTTTGGAGAACGTTGTCGCCGCTCCTCTGTCGTCGCTAAGGTAAAAGACAATGAATCTCTTCATTCCTCATCTAACTTCACACTTTCTACGAGTGAGAGAGGAAAAGAGAGACGAAGAGAGGTGGAAGAAAAAAACAAGAGAAAAAAAAAGGAGAGGTGGAGGGAGGAGGTAGCAGAGACAGGGGACGGAGATGAGAAGAGGGAGGGGGCAGCAGAGAGGCAAAGAGGGGAACGTGGGAAGAAGCATATTGAAGAAGAAATGGGAGAAGTGATTCGAGAGAGAATGGAAAGAAAGAGAAATCCAGATACGTTTGTGTCATGCAATGGGTACACGCACGAGTTGCTTCAAACAAAAGAGAGAAGTGATCAGAGGAGAGAGAGACATATGTCTCTCATGAAATGAAAATATATATATTGTACACACGTGTAAGGCATTCATCTAAAACGAACTACAGTGTTGAATAGTATGATTTTTTTTTTTTTTGATCAATAACAAATTCATTCAATTCATTGAAATATCAAAATATTTACAGCAAGGAAGACAAACTCTTATCTTCCGAATACAACTTAAACTCTCCAAAGAGAGAAAAAGAGAAAAAGAAACAAAAGAAACAATTAAGTTACAGCTTAGCCCAAAACAAAAGAAACAATTAACTATAGTGTTGAAAGTAAGATTCCGAATACCAAAAGGGGAAAGCACCCCTTTCACTTCAATATATATAAGATTTCTTCCCTCATTTCATCAATTCTCTTAGTTCCTTATTTTCCTCAACAAATTCCCTACTTCAGATTCATGCACTCTCCCCACCCTCACTACCCC